ATTATTTGGGGCTTTTGCATATTTATTAAACAGACCTTGTCCATGGATTACACTTTGCAGCGTTTGAAACTTTTAGATATCAGTCTATGTAAGCTATGGAATGCAGCAATCAGGTTCCAGAAATAAAAACTTACAAACCTTTAAAAACAGACCTATTTTATTGTTAATTAATGGTATATTAGTTTCAGAATAATATATATATATACAGTGCTGGGTAGTAGCTAACTGATTACCTGTAATCTGAATTACGTAATCAGATTCCAAAAAGTAGGTACTTGTAACTAGATCATGATCCCGACAGACAAGCAATGATTATGTCAAAGATCAAATGTGAATAAGGAATAACAAATTTATTAAGTAAAAATGTAAACTTATAGAGACAAACAAATTGATCAAATAAATAACAGTTTAATAAAATCCAAAGTATTGTATCTAACAGATAAAGATTGTGAAGATCAGAGTAAAGAGAAAGGAGGACAAAAGTAGTAAGATCTTTGCAGAATTAAAGGAGAGGTAGAAGACATGAAGCAGAAGGAGGTGCAGAAGTGAAGAGCAATGAATATATCTGGAGGAAACTTAAACTTATGTTTTGGTCTAATATGAAAAGGTCAAACAGACTTATCAATTATGTCATAGGTCAGAGTGACTGGTCAAATGTCAAAGATAGAGGAAAATAGATGTAGGTGTTGTTGTTTTGACACATTTAAGACCATTAAGAAAATCTGTGAAGTTATCTCATGTCTGCAGACATGTAAACAGACACATTTTGATACAAAGGTACATCACGTAATCAATTCTGATGGAAAATACACCCACTCAATCTTCCAGCACAGAAGAGACACAACTGGAAATAATCAAACATAGAGCATAAAGTAGAATATGCATAAATGATTAAAGAAATCAATAACATGTAAAAGAATAATTAATAAAATAAATAGTATGAATAAAGACATTATCAGAAACATTGACCATTTTGGATACACCAGATTATATTACATTTTAAAATTCTCGTATTAATCAGACTACAGTTACTTGTTTAATGATTACATATATCATTCACACAATGACAGTAAATCATTCCGAATTTGATTCGCCCTAATTCTTCTTATTCATGTTTAAAATTTTCCTATCTATTCTTCCTATAAATTCAGAAAGTCTTCTAGTTCAGTCACTAGTCAAGTGGCATTAATTACATGGAAAATTGAGCGGTCACAAAACATTTGACCACTGAATTTACAGAAATCATTTCACTTAGGAGTGTTTTGTCAACATTGCATATCGAATCAACTCCTGATGAGCACTCAGAGATATTTAACAACGTATTGCTATGTCTTTGGAAGGCCTTTGTCTTTCAAACACTTTTTTTTACTACAGTTTATATTATTTTAAAATTATTCATTTTAATAAAAAATTTGTATGATTTAATTGCCCACTGCAGTTCCTTCACAAACCCCAGTTTGGCAAACCTTGACGTAATGTAAAATTAAATGCTCCTCATGTTGTTGATATTAAAGAATGGAATACATTTTCTTTCTCTTTGTATTTTTATATCAATATGGTACAATATTATCCTATACAAAATCAATGTAGTGCGGTTATATTACCTAAAATGTGTAATGTAATGGATAACGTAACTAACTACCGGCACAATGTTTGTCATGTAATTTAGAATCAGTAACGGACAACAATTTGTAAGTAATCTACCCAGCACTGCTGTGTGTATACTATGTGTATAAACAGTAAATAGATTTTCTTTAAATCAAAATTGTGTTATGCGATAAATTTCGCAGCTGGTTGGTTTGTTTCGGTCCATGGCTTATAGCTATTTAACTCAAACTTTTTAAGAAATCCCTATTCAAAAAATTCTTACGGAACCAAGTCCACTGAAAAAGCGGGCGCGGGCGCGCAATGTTGCACTCTATTATGCAACACTAAAAACTATTAGGATGATGGGTCTGATATTAGTGCGATGTAATAGAACCACCATAGAGGCATTAATCTTACCCAAAGAGTGTCCACAGCTTCGGCAGGCCTCTGTCAGACTGGCTGCCTGCTGCTGGAGCTCCATACGAGCAGCTGTTGGTGGATTGGGGTTTTTCCACCCATTACATTTACAAGCATCATTCGCCTGTGATTAGAGAACACAACTGTGATTTAAAAAACTGTCAATGAGGACAGTTAACATCAGGTTCAATTAGATGTTGATCAGGTGAATATTGTCAAAACATTCATAATGATAAGTATACAGTGGTAACAGTGATAAAATGGTAATACATAATAAAATGTGATATACTAAAGCACACCTAATTTAAGGCGCATGTTATAAAAACATACAAGAATGCATTCAATTAACCACCATATTTTGGCAGCATTTCTGCACTAATTCTGCATAGGTAGGAGTAATTTTCCACTCTTTAGTTCATATGAAGGAGGTTTTCAAAGTCTTGTGTTTCTTATTTTCTAGCCTTAAATCGTCTGTAGTCCTTTATTATTTGTATTCTTACCAGGGAACATATGTGACTAGTTTGCAGACTGTGAGAAGCATTGCCACATGAAAGGCCCGGGCACTCGCTCTATTGTTATGAGCCAAGCTCTCGGTTACCTTGCAGGAAGAAAACACTCCGAGTTTCTCAAGCTTTTTAGCCCGTGGAAACGAGCGGACTTGGGCTTTCTTCTGGCTGGACCATTGCTGTTGACTCAGGCCTGGTCGGGCCGGGTCGCTGCTCCCGGCTCCGGGGTTTGGGTTGGACCCTGCCGGGCCGCTGGACTGAGCTTGCTGAAGCCGGGGCTGCGCGGAGGTCTGTGCCGCCGGGTCCGCCATATCAGCAGCCTCACTTCCCCTCCTAGGATCGCCGCGCACACATCCACCCTGTGCCGTTTCAATAAAGTTTTGTGATAGTTTTCGTCGATACACTGTCTGACCACTGCACTGCGCGTGCGCAATATGGGGAATGCTGGGAGATGTAGTATTACAATCAGTACTACAGAATAAAACGATACGATGCTTTCCACTGGGGGGCATTAAACACTTGAGCTACTTATTTACAGTGGCTACTTTTATTGTACTATATCACTTTAAAAGTGGAGAAAATAAGCGTATTTATTAAACGTTTAGGGCTGGCCAGTTGCATAAACATGGCCACCAAATTAAGACTTGGCCTGATCTAGTCTGAACAACTAGAAATTAGTTAGGGCTAATCAGTCTTAATTTTCAGATTTACATTAGACCATTAGACCTTTTTATGTAACTGACTTAAAAAAATATGACCCGTCTTAAAGAAAAAAATGAGATGACTAAATTGTAAGACTATAAGCAGTTTATGCAAGCAACCGTCCACAGGTCTGGTTGGGTTTTACAGACAGGGCTTAGATTAAAACCGAGTACCGAGATTAGGCCTTAGTTCAAATGGGGCATTCAAGTAGCTTTTAAAAACGTGGTTTAGGGGGGAAAAAAATCATTATTGATGTGCATCTTGAGACAAAACAATGGCACTGACATATTTTAAGATACGCCAGTGCAAGAGTTGCTTTCAGTTCAAACAGCTCTAACATGCACTTTAGTCTGAGACTATTTTACAGCCTTGTCTGGGGGATAGTTGTATAAACTATTTTTTGTAGCAAAATGCATTTTTAATATTTTTCAAAACTAGTCAGCTTAATACATTAGCTGACTGATTATTATTTTATTTTTTTTAGAAAAATAACAAAAGGTAAATAGATGTACATTTGGGACGATTCCGGTTCAGTTATTATTTACTGCTCTAGGCCTTACAAACAAAAATTTGGTTATTTCATTAATTTATTTAGATCAAATATCATTGATAAAAAGGAAACTCGTGTATTTTTAACTACCAGCCAGGGGTGCGTTTCCCGAAAGCATCGTTAGCCAACTATGGTCGCAAGTTGGTCGCGTCTATGGTTGGTCGCAATTACCATTGAACTCTATTGGTAACGACGGAACTTGCGACCATAGTTGGCTAACGATGCTTTTGGGAAACGCAACCCTGATTTAAGTCTTCTGATGAGCCTTAAAGGGGCACAGTATTTTTTTCTCCTCTTTAAAAAGTTGCACACCCAAATAAATGCAGTCATTTTGTAACTGACATATAAAATCAATCCACTCCGATGAGAACAAGACTTCAATCATATCTGCAACCTTATAAAAACTGTTCTATTGTACATTGAGAGGGTCCTCTCATGTTAAGATCACATGACCAGTCAAATACTATTTGCCTAATCTCAGTAACCACCCTGTTATTAAACACTTTCATTCATGGATTAACTTAATCATGATTGATTGTGAAGTGACTTTCTACAATAGCAGCAGTGGCTCAAAACTACTGCATTTGGTGTCAAGTTCAAAAAGACTGCCAGCACAACAAACACAGAGTAAACCTCTACCCATGATGCTCCCTCCACAGCCGCAAAACAATGCATATTCGAAAATTGTTAATGAAACAGAGCACCTTTTAAATTAATTTAGTAATGGTGAATAATTAAGGACCAGGTCTCTGTTCCCAACCTTATTTGGGGGCAGGAATAAGAAAACACCTCCAACTCACCACCTACGTTTAGAAATAACAACAGAACAGACAGAATGTATACCTTCCCCTCCTTTATTGGTAAAATTACAAGTTCTACTAGGTTTGTGTTTTTCCCATTTATTTGCCTTTGTCCATTGCGTCCCTCAGACCCTGCTTGAGACTTCTGGGTCACTGTTCACATGTGTTGTGCTTGTGCTATGTCACAAGTGATACTGAAAATGCCGGTCGAAATAGACGTCCTTCGACATAAAACAGGAGGGAACAATATTGACGAAAAATGACGTTGTCAGAGGACAAAGAAATACCCAGTGCACTCTTAAGAGACCTTAAGTACAAAAACAAGTAAATTCTTACAAAGGTGCTGAATTGAAATTGCTAATGATTGGGGACATTTTCACAGAAAAAAAAAAAAGTACAGGAACAGCAACATTATCATCTCCAATCCCCCCCCCGCCCCCCCCCATCGTAAATATTTGGGATTTTGGTCAGAGGAGGCTGATTTTGCCTTGTGTAATTCATATGTATTTTCTCATTTGTCTGAATGATTTCAAAAACATTTCATTAATGCAAAGAAAGAAAAAAAAGAAAAACACATTGGAGTTATACCACCTGTTAATGCATTTAGATACAAGTAGATATATGTAAATGATTAGAAAAAAAGTCTAGCCTATCAAATCATATACTGGTTTCATTTGTGCTGGAGTAGTGGACGCCTGAGAGACTAATACAAAAGAAATAATAGAGGATCTACAGAACAGCCAGACATAGATGGAAAATAGCCTCTTTTCTCATTCTCCAATTTGTCCTCTCTCCGACAAAGAAGGGATGTGATCAAGGAGAGCAGGAGAAAGATGAGATGTAACTCAATACTGGCAGTATGCATCCACCAAAAGGGAGAGCGCAATTAAATAGTGACGTCACCACTAGATTTTTCATACAAATGAGCAAATGAGAGCATAAGGAAATACAAGCGAGAGACAACTTGTTTTCCCACCAGCAGCAGTCTGGAATTTCTTTTGTTTTAAGTGCGATTGGTTAGATCGGATCACGTGTGTCTCTTTTTTGTTTTGTCAAAACTATATAAGACAAATCAAATAACTCATAGGTGGCAGAGACATGTCATAGCTTCTGTGTGTGTGTCTGAATGTTTGCATGTCGTGTTCTTAGGAGGGATAAATGGTCGAAACATTAATGTGTTGATTTACAAGGGTATCAATGGCCTGTTTCCAGTTCTGAAGCTCTAACTGGCCATAGTTTAGAGCTGGGTCATAAGTGAATGGATCTCACACTATAGATTTATACTGTGTTGTGTGTCTGTATCAGTCCTTGTGTGCATCTGCCAGGTGATTGGTCCAATGGTTAGTTGCCGCCTCCACAGCACTGGCCGCTTCTGCCCTGAGGTGCTGTCTCCTGCAAGTCGACACCTCCTCTGGCCCGTCCGCCACTGCCCGCCCCACCCTGCGGTTCGTTCTTCGGAAGCTTCTTGGCTACAGAATTTTTGAGAAGGAAAACATTTATTCATAAACATACTAGGTTGCTTTGATCTGAATTAAATCAACAGCAGTATTTGAATGATTAGGTGTGGTGTCTAGAGGAGCGTCTTTGCAGCAGGTGAAACTGGTGTCAAGTTGCTGTGTTTTGCTCTGTGCTTGAAGAGAATCAACAACAGAGATGAGATCGTACCAATAGCCATGAAGATCTCGTTCACGTTCATAGCAGTCTTCGCTGACGTTTCCATGAAGAGTAGGCTGTTGTCGTCTGCGTACGCCTGCGCCTCCTAAAGAAAGCATGCAGATGAGTTAAAAACATTTGGAAGCAGATTTACAGAGGTTGTTTTGCGTTCGTGTAAACTTACCTGAAAGTCAACGGCTCTCTTGTTGGCCAGGTCTGCCTTGTTGCCAGCCAGAGCAATGACGATATTTGGACTTGCCTGACGCTGCAACTCCTTTACCCAGTTCTTTGCTCTAGTGAATGTGTCCTAAAACAAAAGACAAAAACAGTAGGAGCAACTGTTAAACAAAGAACAAAAAAATCTAATGAAAAGTTAAGGACCAGTCATAGTGTAGATCAACAGAAGCCTCTAAAGTGAACTGCTATTCTTGAACTTGTTCGATTGGATTTGAGCACATACAGAATCATGGGTGACTTGTCAATTTAATGTGTTAATTTACTGCAATTAATAATTTTCATGTATTTAACCAAGCCCCTGCCCTGACACAAACTCGTAACTTGCTGTCTAAATGCAAAGCATGATGGGAATGTATATTCAATGCTTTACCTGCTTGCAACAATGTAATGTCTATTTAATACAGCATGTAACATTATAATATATATAGCAAGGTTTGGGGTCAGTATTTTTTTTTAACGAAATGAATACTTTTATTCAGCAAGGATGCACTAATTTGAATGAAACTGACAGCATAATGTTACAAAGGTTTCCCATTTCAAATAAATGCTGTTCTTTTGAACATTCTATTCATCATAGAATCCTGAAAGTAAAAAGAACAAAAATATTAAGCAGAATAACTTTAATAGATTCAATTTAGACGTTAACATTAATAAGAATTGTTTCTTTAGCAGCAAATCAGCATATTAGAAGGATCATGTGACACTGTAGTAATGATGCTGAAAATTCAGCTTTGCCATATATTTATAAGGAACTTATTAAAACATGCATATTCCTGTTTTTTTAAAGAAAATACAGTATTTTACATTACAAATAAATAAAAAAGGCTGTATTTTAAGTTTCATTAACAACAAAAAGCCATACATATACTACATACATTAGATTAAAGTCCCCCTGTAGTCAATCATTTGATTTCATCTTTGATCACCAAAATGACATATTTAAAGATTTTATCCTTGAAAAAAAAATTCTTCATGTCTTAAAATAGCTTGAATGTAACTCTATACTAGGGGTGGAACGGTACATGTATTCGTACCGAACCGAAACGGTACGGGCGTCACGGTTCGGTGCACGAATTTACACGGAGAATACACGGTATAAAAATAAATAAAACTCGCGTGAAAATTAATTAATGCAATGCGGAACTACTGTTAGATACGCGGGTTCTTTAGGGACACATGTACCATCGGCTTAGCTCTGAACGCGCGTTCACTTCAAACGTTGGCTTTATACGCGCGTCCTATTCGCTTTGGATTAGCGTCGAACTAGACGCGATAGACGCGAATTTAACGCTCTATTCGCGTTTGGTGTGACCGCATAATGAACAGGCTGCGATGTCAAGATTGCAATGCTGGAGTGTGTGTTTGTGTGTGTGTGTGAGAGAGAGAGGCACGGCCGCGATCGAACAGTGGAAACATAAAAAACATAGGCCTACTCCGTCATTTTGTTCATACAGATCATTAAACCTGCAAAGTGTTTACTTAAATTTGTGTACACTCGCAATAAAACACAACATTGTGCTTTTGTCAAACTGTAACCTACAACTGTCACCCAACCAAAATCTCACACACACACACACACACACACACACACACACACACACACACACACACACACACACACACACACACACACACACACACACACACACACACACACACACACACACACACACACACACACACACACACACACACACACACACACACACACACACACACACACACACACACACAGTTTTAAAAGCAAAACATATTTATCCAACTCCATTTCAAAACAGTCTGTGGGTCCCATCTTTTGGACATTCATCGCATTGGTTTTCATTTCTCGTCCTCGGAGCACTAATCTTACACATTCTACATTGATTAAAAAAGAAAATCGAATGCGTTTTTAATGGTAGTATTATTTTATACAGAAATCAATTATTTATAATTCAGATGAGAATAATGTTACATTGTTAATTAATAATGTTAATTAAAATTAAGGAAAACAAATATATTGATCTGAAATATAGCAAATTAATTTTAAATTAATTCAGGTACAATTACCAAACGTCTTTTTGTCTTTTTATTAATTTAATTAATAAACTAATTATATAAAACTATTGTCAGTGCACTACAAATAAACTGGTTCTATGCCTTTATTAATAAAACTTATTTAAAAAATACAATGCCTTCTGCATTTTTGTTTTGCTTTTCCCTCCATTGTACCGAAATCGTACCGAACCGTGATGTCTGAACCGAGGTATGAACCGAACCGTGACTTCTGTGTACCGTTCCACCCCTACTCTATACCCTTGCCTCATTGAGTATACACGGTTCTATGAATATGTAAATGAACCCCCCCTCCAGTCACTCGCACCAGCTCATACCCCTTTTCCACCAACAAGAACCGGGTGCTGGTTCAGAGCCAGAGCCAGAGCTGGTTCCGCGTTGGTTCGACTGACAAGCTTACTAAGAACCGCTTTGCCTTTCCACCGGCTAGAGAGCCACAACAGAGCCAGATCTTACGTCACTGCATACGTCTCATGTTGCCCAGCAACGCTAGTGCGGTAGCGCCAAACACAAACACGCCAGGTTTGTTCGAGATGCATGGGCTTCTCGCAGATCGATCGCCGCATGACATCAAAGCACTGCGAAAGCGATCCAAAAGCACAAGGAGTCGTATGATCTCCAAACACTCCCGCAGCTCCGATCGGTCCGCGCTGCTCGGATGCATCTCGAACAAGCCATCAACAATAACGGACGTTGCGTTACTATGGATGCTCATTAGGGTTGCCACCTATGTCTGATAAAAAACCGGGACATATCGATTACCCGCCCAACGGGTTGAAGACCAAAAATGAACGGTTGAACACCAAAATTTTAATTTGAACTGTAGGCCTATACACCGAATGCTGCGCAAAAATATAGCCTATATTCGCGCATTTTCAGATTTTTGTTTACGACTTTTTGCCCCTTTATTAAATAAACATTTAAAATATTCACAAATTATATGGACAAAATGGTTTTCTAAGGCCAAACACTATATTTCCATGGCTATAGATGATTTATAGGCTATTATAAATGTTTCTGAAAAAGTACAAGGCATTTTAATTGTTTAAACTAGTATTTTCTAAATCGGCTGGAAACATATCTCCATCTCCGCTGTAAAGCAGATGCGCCTTTAGATAAGAAATTCATATGGATTACATAATCAGACTATTTTCTTTCGATTCGAATTTGTTCGTTTAAAAGTGGACATTTCAAGCTTTAGCCTACATGGGCTTGTTTATTTTTGAGACGCGATCCAGTTCACGGAGACCATAAAAGAGCGCGACTGATTGTTTTATTTTATTTTACAAAAGCACAACGTTTTCTTGTTATTGTGAGTTTACACAAATAAAAGTAGTTGCGAATGATGTATTGTTGCGAATGATGTTTATTTTCTATGACCAGAAATGATAGAGTAGGCCAGCTATTTTAAGTTGTTTCCACTGTTGATAGAAAAACGGAAGTGCTCGCGCCCGCGCCTCGTGCAGCAAGCGCGATCCACACTCCGATTACATGCGCTTCTTGAGGCACAGACTCACAGACACACACTAGCACACACACGCAAGGTCTCTCCGGGTCTCTCGCTCTCTCCCTCTCTCCCGTTGCGTGCGCTACACAGTTTGAACATATATATATTCACGTAGCCTTTCGAAAACCGGGACATTCAGTGTCCCGGGAGAGTGCATAAATTTCCCGGGACAGGTTATTAAAAAGGACAATCCCGGTAAAACCGGGACAGGTGGTAACCCTAATGCTCATGGGTTTGCAAAAATACATCGGAATCCAACGCGTTTGTGCAGCTCGCCGTAACTTACATAGACGGATATTATAATCAAGCTTCTATTAGCTCGACTAGCTGCTATTTAAAAATGGCGGTCACAAGTTTCTATTCGTCTTGTTGGTCACGGTAACCCCGCCCCCAGCCCCTGACGCAAGCGGTTCTTACTTGGCTCTGTTCTAGACCAGCAATGATTTGGTGCTACTTAAGAACCACTTTTTCTGGTTCGGAGCTGGTCCTTTGTGTGTGGAAAAACAAAGAACCGAATTGAAACTAGGCTCTGGCTCCGAACCAGCACCAGCTCTGCCTTGGTGGAAAAGGGGTATCAGAGATTCACTAGTTGCGGTGATTGGTTACAAGGTAGTTTGTGACATCAGAAACACAATCGATTTCAAACCGCGTTTTTGAGACGGTATTTGGTACACTGCAGTTTTAAGGAGAAAATCCTCAGCAATGGTGTTGACTTATGAATTTACACATATAAACAACATTAAAAGCTTGATTTTCACCACAGGGGGACTTTAAGGTTGCCAACAGGAATTGTATCGCCATTGTGATTGTTACTTGACTTTTAGCAAAGGTCTGACTGTGTCCTACAGAATAATAATTAAACCCGGCAGTCAGTCAGGTGAAACCTTATTATTCAGACCTTACCCTTCTGCTGAGCACTACGCTGTGATGTCAGCCTTTATTAGAGCCAAAGCACAACTGACAAAGTCACATTGCAGCTGAGGTGCCACAAAACTCTCAGCTGGTGAACGATTGGCTGTACAAGACACCTGTCTGATGCAACTCTGACTTAAAGGTCTTGATTTCATAATCACAGGCACTCACTGTGTTAGTAATATCGTAGACGACGATGGCCGCCTGGGCTCCTCTGTAATACATAGGGGCCAGGCTGTGATATCGCTCCTGTCCGGCCGTGTCCCAAATCTCAAACTTTACTGTTGTATCATCCAGGCAGACTGTCTGTGTAAGGAAAGCAGCTAGAAGGGAAAGAAAAACAGAAATGTTTATGACATGACGGTAATGTGTATCAGTTTGTACAATCAAAATGATCCTTTTAGCACTTCCTTACAGCTTAACCATTTAAGGGCTGGACATTTGTAGAGGAAGAATGAGAAACATGCATCATCATGATCAGGCCTGTGGAGGAACTGTATAACTCTACAGTTATGTGGAGCAGGATTTGACAAAATGTTCTGCCTCTCATCATAGATGCTTAGGACAACAACTTTGGTGTTGTTGGAGCCGATAGCTATGTGGGAAGCGCGATTGCGCTTTGGGCAACCAGAGTTCGAGTCCCGGCTCACATTTACAAAAGATTTCCATTTCAAATAAATGCTGTTCTTTTGAACTTTCCATTCAAAGAATCAAAAGAATGTGTTATTTGCACAGGCAAGCATTCAAAAATTGTTCAGAAAATTTTGATTTTACAATACACATTAAAATGACGCATACACAGAAAGTGTGCAGAAGCGCAGAAGAAGAAAGACCATCAATATTTCTAATCCCTTTCACTTCAAACTTTGTGCTGAGTCAGGTGCAATCGTCACATGTTTGAGGCTCACATTCATTTCTCCAAAGCACTGCGAGTGCTGTGATCTTTGACCTGCTCATTGACGACAGGATGATGGCATTGAAGGAAAACATGTAGAAGGACAAAAAAAGTGCTGAGAATTTCCTTATTGTCAGCCTTGTGCAAGCATGCGGTATCCTGCCCGTACCAAATGTCACTCCCAGCACTTTTCTTTCTTCGTGTCTGAATTTATTCTACAATCTCTTGCTAAATACAAGACTGAGCCTTAAATGGAACAAATCCACGAATGTCCATGATCAAATTTAGCTTTAAGTTTCCCTAAAACACTGACAACTTGGAGGGACACAATAGCACACGCACTCAGGAAATCCCATTGTTGACTGTTTCCCTTTCCTTCTGGTAGTTTCTCGAACTCCTTTCTCTGTCCATGTAATTCATAACATAAATCTATCTTTTAAATGAAAACCATTTCAAGCTGTATACAGCACACGTGTTTGGTTAGGAGATCAGATATGTGCACATGCATAACTGTGTGTTTGTTTAAAGGGATAGTTCACTTTTAAATTAATTTTTTATATGTTTTAGCTTACCTCAAGGGCATCCAAGATGTAGGTGTCTTTGTTTCCGCAGTATTTTCAATTTTGATATTTTTAGGTCAAACTGTTCTTGTCTGTCAGTCATATAATGCAGGTCTATGGTCACTTCCTCAAAGAGCATGCACAGAGAAGTCCAAATTAAATATGATTTAATGACTCGTAAATGTAAGTACTCATTGATGGCCAGAGACACAAAACGAGCAGTTTGTGTGAGAAAACGAACAGTATTTATATCGTTTTTACCTCTTGTAAACACAGCCACGTCCAAGTGATCTGAGGGCGCGGGCGCTTCGGTCTGTGTTTACAAGAGGTAAAAACGATATAAATACTGTTCGTTTTCTCACACAAACCGCTCGTTTCGTGTCTTAGGCCATCAATGTGTACTTACATTTACGAGTCATTAAATCATGTTTAATTTGGACTTCTCTGTGCATGCTCTCTGAGGAAGTGACCATAGACCTGCATTATATGACTGACAGACAAGAACGGTTTGACCTAAAAATATCAAAATTGAAATTACTGCGGAAACAAAGACACCTACATCTTGGATGCCCTTGAGGTAAGCTAAAACATATCAAAAATTAATTTCAAAGTGAACTATCCCTTTAATACTCCATTAAAACTCATGTGGTCGTCATGCGATTAGCGAGTAAGAACCAGCTTGTCTGCTTCAGACCAAGCCCAGCCCTCTCACCACACATCAACACAAGCCACACAACCTCATATACGCAGAGCGTTCAACATAATCTCACTACATGTATGTTGTATTATAAAATATTATCCTGTAGCTAATCTTTTACAGGAGACATATTCAACAGTTTGACAGCATATTCCCCCTGAAGTCATTCATGTTAAATCAAAGTTTCTTGTTTCTTTCAAAGTTTCTTTCTCTTCAAAATTATCTAGACCAGTGTTTCTCAACTGGTCCGTTTGAGTGTGTAGTCAAACAACAACAACAAAACATAGTTCTATATGTTTTTCTGATGCAAGACTTTTATTTTGAAATATGTGCATGAAAGCTGTTGACTCTTCTGTCGACCGATTAGATACCGATATATTGTGTATCCCTAATATTTTTCCATGTCTGCCGTTTTTCATGTCACATTAACCGAAGAATTTCCAGACTTTTTTTTTAACAGCGATGGAAAAATCTGAAAGCCTATCTTTTGTAATTATGTAACTGTAATTCTCACCCCTGACCACTTGGTGGCGAGTGCGCTCTTGCTGACTATAAAGTTAATGATCAACAAATGAATGGCTTTTCTGAGTTATGTGACATTGTTTACAAGCTGTTTTATTGTCCTCTTTCTGCGGTTGAAACACTGAGCAATTACATGAGATACATGATATGGATTTCTGAGTTGGACTGTATCTTTCAACATATTTTCTGATGTTTATTCTTGTTTATTTCATTCTGTAATATAGTAAAAGATTAAGGGATGATTGCGTTCACTCGCGCTCCACTACACTTACAATGAGGCGCTACAGTGATCTCTTGAGTTTTGTGATAAAATGGACAGAATTTGAAAGCTGAGACTTTGTTTTATATCAAAAGTATACAAAGCTTATTGTGATTTATTGGACACACATTCATGATGAAACCTGAAAAGTGACCCACAGTCTCTGTTCAACTATCTCTTAATAAATAAATAAATGCATAATCTAGCCTATATGCTTGTCCTGTAAATTATAATAATAGATTATGGTGGAATTTTTACGACCCAGTCTGTCAAAATGACGGACAATGCGGAAGTCTAACGCAACCTCTGTTCATGTCATAGCTGAATATATTAACTAGTGAGGAGTTTCGGGCCTGTGTGCATTCTTGTAATGCGAGTTCATATTAAAAAATGTGAGGAAAATCCTCCATCCTTAGAAAGAATAAGCTTGGACATAAACACGCTCTGGCTCACCTCCAATAGTGCTCTCCTGGTACTCGTGGAACTGGCCTTTGACGAAACGGAGCACCAGGCTGGACTTGCCCACGGCAGACTCTCCCAGCAAGACCAGTTTAAACTGGCAGATTTTGTTCCCGACGGGGGCGGCACCGTTGGTCCGCGCTGGTCCACCTCGCCCCGCCATGCCAACAGGCCGGACAACAGGAGAGGAGAGGGCTGACTGGATCTAAGAGGGGTCCTCACTGGATATGACAGGGGTCCTAAAGCAGGATCAATGGAGCTCCGGGGAGGACAGGGTCGAGAGAGAGAGAGAGAGAGAGAGAAAAAATCGGGAAAGAAAGTGAGATAAAGATGGAGAGATGGCTCCAATTGGATGAATAAACCTAGAGGAAAAAGGAGAAAGGAAGTTGATCAACAAAACACATTAATGACCGGGGGCCGTATTCACAAAGAATTTTATCTTACCACTAGGAGTACTCCTAAATCGCACTAAAAAATTTTAGCTAGGAGTTTTCTCTTAAAAGTTATTCACAGCGCCTTTCAGACCTACTCTTAGTAAGGAAAAATGACAACTCCTAAACTAAGAGTGAGTCATCGTTGCTATAGATGACGTCAATTCTCATGCGCGAGCTTCCTCACAATGATCACGGTGATTGGTTGTTAGATGACAGGGCCATCATGCGGAACATAACACAGACGCAACAAATCATGGAATTACGACATCTAAATATGTCTGTGTCCTACACAAAATAATAATAGTAATGTCATCGAAATGCATATATAATGACATGTTTGTGCAGGCCCCAGTGAAGTGTAATTCTAAAAAGGCAGAGAGAGAGAAAAGTCGTGAATTAAATTAAATCAAAGTACCCCAATGAAAACCGCCACTTGCCTAATAATGAAAAACGACACTTGCATTAACACTTGCTTGGTTAATTGACATCATATTAGCCTAAATAGAAAAATAAACTTAAAACAAGGAAATGTTGCTCCTATTGAAGTAATGTAACTTTGAATGACGGTGGATTATGAACTCGCCAAAACGGAAAAGAAAGCCCAACTGGACGCATGATCAGTAACTGCTGCTGGCCCAGTAGATATCAAGCAAAACTAAGTGTGAGACATGGGAGAGGATTTGTTTGCAGATCAATGCAGCATTCCCGCTTGTGTCGCGGACCCCGGACGACTGCGAGAGGCGGTGGAATGCGCTACAATCCTTTGTGAATAGGTCTTAGTGAGTTAGGAGTCCTCTCGACTTCTTTTAAGCTGTCCCAGACTTAGGTGCTACTTTTAGGGCTAAAATGCTTCGTGAATTACTCTTAGTGAAAAAAATTAGGAGTCCTAAAGTTAGGAGTGACACGCCCATTATTTTTAGGAGTTGCTCCTAAATTCACCAGTTAGGAGCTACTTTTAGCCTTAAAATTCTTTGTGAATACGGCCCCAGATATAATTGGCCATATTACAAATTACTTGACTGTGACGCTCCCAAGTTGAGTGAAAGGAAAGGACAGACTCATTACAGGTCGTTAACAGCTATCACACCATTCCAGTGCACTAACCATTAACCATAATGCTCCAATGAAACTCACTACAACAAAAAAAATCCCCTTTACAGATTCCACCCACACTGTGCCGCAATTACAGTTAAAAGCATCCATACAAAAACACGCTAGGTAAATATCAGTGTTATGTCACACATACATTAAAATAGTTCCCCAATTTAAATAACCTACACTTATCAGTGATCCAAAATTATCTGCACCGTATCGACGGAAGAGGTGCTGAAAACAGGTCAGGACCTGCTGTGTTTTTTTTGTGTAGCCTATATTTTGTTATTCGAAGCGCCACACAGACCAACAATAAGCTCAGCTTGGGGCCAAATGAATTGTGGACTGTGGCGGAACATTTTCTTTATACTTTCAGATTGATAAATAAAATTGCTACTGGGGGAAAACTCATATATTCCACTTTTGAAATCTTTATTTTTGTCCTAACTGGGTAGTGTTACGTTCTGTTCATTTAAAAAAGTTTGATTCAATTGATTCTCTGTAGCCAAATACAGACAGCAGAGCTAAAGTAGATCACTAAAACAACTGAGCAAATAAAGGTGAGAGAAAATGAATGCGATTATTACAAGACAGAGAGACACAGGTCTGAGGTCATTATTTTAGCTTGTTAAAGATGGATTCAGATATTCTTTCTGCTGCAGCAGACACAGTAATTGGCAGCAAAAGAGGAGAGAAGAGAAGATAGATATCAATAAATGGATGGACGGACCTCCATCCTAGGTAGGAGAATATTCAGGTATTGAGGCCTGGGCTATCACAAAAAACAAAACATTTTCATTTAAGCAGCATTAAATGAAAGGTTAAAGGCATGTCTCTCCTGTTAATAACTGCAAGAAAAGGCCAATGGAAGTGGTAAGTAGAGGACAATCAAAAAAGTGATTATGGGGAGTGAGATGTCACTGCCAGCGTCAGGTCTTGAGGTTCAGTCTAATCCAGAGCATGTGACGGAGGTTTAGAATCACTCACACACAAATTTCTGCAAACCACATCTTCTCATGCCATTCAACATGCTTTGCACAGAAAGTGGAACATAAATAGAAACAGAATGGCACAAAGGGTTGGCTTGACTATACAGCTAAAACATATTAAACGGGCTGTCTGAAAATTATTTATCTCGCTCAAATATTTGTTGTTTCTTTTTCAAACAGCTATTGTAGCCAATTAGACTCAAAATGTTTAAAGTTAAATTCAATACAAGATACAGCAACAACAACAAAAAAGTCTTGTTTTACATGCTAGCTACTTTCACATTGTCAGTTTTTTGGGATTGACAACCACATTTACTTAGAGGGGTGGTTCTCGAAATGTCCCGTTCAAACAGCAACTTAGAATAGCGTCTAAGGATGTGCGCAACTAATAATTTCATTAACGATTAGGCCTAAATGGTTGCCGTTTAAAGTGTAAATCGCAGGTTAACCACCACAACCAATTAATGTGTAAATTAAAGTGCTCAATATGTATATAATATATTCAGGGCCTGAATTTTGTTTTGGAAAATGGGGGGGAAATCCCCCCTTAGATGATTCTCATGGGGGGGATTTTTTTTGTTTGAGGGGGAGAAAGGGGGGGGCATTTTTTTCAAACAAAATTATTTCATTTATCTTGCCTAAATGTTTGCGCTCATTGCATTTTTACAATGGGGTAATATTGTTGTTAAGAATTTACACATCACAAGGAAGCTTGATTTAAATTGTTTAATTAAATTGAAAAAAGTAGCACAAATAAATACAATAGAATAAATATACAAATAAAGACAATTAAAGAGAAAAGTTTTTGAATAGGTCTAACACTAGTGAGATACTGAATAAAGTAATCAAATGGAAAACAACACTGGGTAGTATTTTAGTCCTGAATAAATTAAATACATAGGCTATTAATCCTGATTCCTTTAACTTAAAGCCATCTTTTGTTGTTTTGACAACAAAATTAATGACAGACACATATGGCTTCCGTCACTTTAAGAGCTAGTGCACGGATCCTGTGTTCATTATACTGGCATGCGTTTTATGCTTATTAAAGACAAAACCGACTATATTTAGAGTATAGCCTACTCACAAAGACCGAAATTGACAATTTTGCGTGTTAAAGCAATATAATCCGCGAAAAATAGTTACTGGCCAGCTGTTTTTGAGGCGGATTTTCTATGAATGTGCGCATAGAAAATAATCTCAGAGAGCGCGCGAGCACTGATTAGTTTAAAATCGCTTGAATGTTTAAACTGGTAAGACTTAAAAAGACTTCAGTCACGATGCACTGCTGGCCCGATTGTGCAAGTGAATATTCCGTCATGTCCCGACCTTACAGTCTATGGTCCCGACTCCAAAACGCGAGTGTGTATGATCGCCGCAGCGCTTGATGCCTGCCTTGCACAACACATTATGAGAAGAGATAGAAGACGCGGCACAGCTGAACACTCACGCTGTTTGTCTGGAAGATAATTGTTAAAAGAATGATTTGATTTTATTATCTGTGTGGATTACGATTGCGGGAATTTCCCGCATTATAAATGGGAGACCTGCGGGAATGATTAGAATTATGCGCAATACCCGCGCCGAAATTCGAGCCCTGATATTTAAAATTTTCTGTCTTAAAATGCGTTAAAATAACATTTATTGAGGTTTCTTCAAAGGTAGCATGTTTTTTACCAGAACTGGGTGATGACGTCATAAGAGGGAGCGCGGGCGGTAATGCACTCTCTCTGTGTGTTCGGGTTGAGGGAGAATAAAACGATTCGCGGGACTCCCGCAAACTAGAAATATCTATGAATAAAACAAAAAAACTAATACATTTTTATTCATCTGTTGCAGAAAAGCAACAAGAACAACTAAAACAAAATAGAAACGATTTACAGGCAGAGTTTCCATTTATAACATGTTTGCAGCGTTGAGCGATGTAGCCAATCACAGACATATGTGTTGATTTCTTGAACGCAATGGCCAATCAGAAGCATTTAAGATAGACTCCCCTCACCGCTCAAAACGGACTTTTTGTTCAGTGATGAATTCTGTATGCTGGAAAATCCTCGAATTATAACAAACAAAGTGTAGATGTTATGAAAGATTCATTGATAATAAACAGAGATGTGTGAGATCGCGATGAACTGATGTCAGCTTTTAAGGAATTATTATGGGAGCGCACTTTGCGCGCAGTCATGCCAAACCATGCATGACTAAGTTAGCCTGCTTGTTTTTATGTTATAAAAGTGGTTTGTGTGTTAGATACATGCAATGTGCTTGCCTTGCATTATGATCATTGTATATTAAACTTGAGCTTTCACTCAAGTAATGTTATTAAAAATTTTAATATATGAAAAAAAATCACATAGGGACACCCATGAACATATCTATGTGATTAATCAAAAATGAATCTTTAAATTGATTTGTTGGACAGAAGACAGAGCCGACATACCAGTTTTTATGTTAAAGCTCCTGTAGGTAATTTTGGAAAAAATTTATTTGCTAAAACTGTCATTATGTCCTGACAGTAGAATATGAGACACATAATCTGTGTAAAAATCAAGCTCCTCTGGCTCCTCCTAGTGGTCCTATTGCCATTTGCAAGAAATACACGCTCCCGGTCAGAAACAACCAATCAGAGCCAGGAGGAATGTCTTAGCAGTGTCAATCACGCTCGTGTACGCGCTGATCACACCCCTCTCTTGCACAGCGCGAGCGCCGGAGCGCGAGCCGTCGTTCAAACTCAAGATTGCCGGCGTGCTGCAGCTGTGCTTATGACGGAGAAACAACCTAAACTGCCAATTCTCGAGTGACACCTGCTCATAAAACAAAGAGGTAAAAGGAAAAAGACTGATGACGATAAACAAGCGAAAAAGAAAGAATTACACAGAGCCCATTGACTCGGTGTCAAAACTCTAGCCGCATAACATGTAGATAAAATGTCACGCACTCTGCTAAGCAACAATTGAAACCTGCTAATTCACTGGCTTGTCATGTTGCTGAAATAATGTACTAGCACACCTTATCTAGCATTATATATATCGCTAGAATAATTACTTACATACTGTAACGTTAGTTACCGTTATATTACCGTTATCTTACTAGCTATTTATAACTTATAGAAAGAGTGCAACGTTATAAAGTTACATGTATTGCAAAATACATAATGATTTGAGGACCAAGTTTGTAGTCAAAGTATGGGCAGGCCATACAATGTAAAGCATATTATTGATGTTTAGTCCCTATTTTACATTTACATTTATTCATTTAGCTGACGCTTTTATCCAAAGCGACTTACAATTGCTATACATGTCAGAGGTCGCACGCCTCTGGAGCAACTAGGGGTTAAGTGTCTTGCTCAGGGACACATTGGTGTCTCACAGTGGATTCGAACCCAGGTCACTCACACCAAAGGCATGTGTCTTATCCACTGCGCCATCACCACCCGTGCGCCATCACCACCCTATTAGTGAATGTGCCATATAACTTTTTATCCGCTGTTATTGGTGGCTCTGTTTACTAGCCTGCGCGTTCACGACAGGCTCCGCAACAGTCAACGTTTTCTCAAAACTCCCTACTGCAGCTTTAAATCAAAGAAATTATCAAAATGCTTGCTTAATGCCAGTGTAATGACTTCTTTAGGAAACTTAATGTCCAAATAAATGCTAAATAAATAAAATAAATCTTATAATCATCAGCAAAAGCCCCTGGAATATATCACTCAGCTGTAAATCACACTACAGAGAAATTCTCAAAACGAGGGCAAAGAAGGATCAAAATATGGGAACAATTGGAACAAAGAGGGAGTGGAGAAATAGAGAGCATGTTTATGAAATATTGATGTGATTTTCATATGTTCTGCTTTACTGATTTTTACCAACGGACTGAAGCATCTTATTAGCAGATGGACAGACATCGTAATGAAAACTTGCAGCAGTATCAATAATAGAGATTATAATGTCATTCATGACATCAGACACCTATCACGGAAGGATGGCTTTTACCGTAATGCCACTCTGTTCTGAAACTGAGTGACCAAATAACAGGCAATGACAATGATGAAATTCCACAGAAGCACTCCACAAAGAACTGCTGTAATTTCCAGGTATTGTAGTTTAATCTACCTACTAAAGACACCTGATTCACTTCCTGTCATCTATCGGTAAGGCCACCGTGTTGAAACCTGTGAGTACATGTCAGCCCGAATCGCTGGCACCAGCATTCCAATCACTATGGCTCATTTCCCTTCTATGCAAAATCACATGCTGAAAATACAGTTCTGTGGTGACCCTTAAATCCAACAAGAAGGAGTGCAATAATACCGTCCCTCCCCCATCAAACACCGTTCACTGGGAGGGAGGGATCTCAACAACAGTGTGGAAATAGGAAACGCTCTCCAGGAAACTGACCAGCTGAAAGGAAATCGCATGCATCCCCATTCCCAACATGGGAGCGCAAGCGGCCTGATCATTAAACAAATGTCTGAGAGGGTGTGTTAGAAAGGACAGTCTGTCTGTCTATCTAAGAAGTTGTTGCAATTTTGCAGAGCAAACACACAGATAACAACACATACACACCCTCCTTAACGCCTGGAAGGGCAAACTGACGCGCTCAACAGCTGCATTCATTAATAATACAACTTAACAGATGCTATTATATGCATCTTGCCTGCTCCATCGGACAATGCCTTTTTTCCATCTCTATGTCTGTTTGTGCAGGCATGTAATCTACTTTGTGCTCCAATTTTTCCTGTTCATTAGAGTCACTTCAAGATCATCTTCAGGTCAGCAGATCTGGGTTTTTCATTTCAGACACATTTGAGTTGGTTTGTACTTTAAATAAACATGTTTCTTCTACATGTCCTGGTGGTGATAAACATTCCTGTATGTGTCCGGTTTTCACCATGACCTAAATACTAAGGGTATGTTTACACGACAACGATGAACTAAAAACGTAAAGTTTTTCGAGTACAGGCGACTACTAAAACTACAAGAAAACGACTAAAAACGCTGTAATATTCATGCCAGGCCAGTAGTCGGCGATGTCACTTTGTAAATAAACACTACGCGCATATATACTGAACACATAATACACGTGCATGATGTCACTGTTTTCACAGATTTGCTTTATTTTAAGTTTACACAATAACAGTACCATTTTCAAAAACCCATTGAAACCCGTTTTCAGGCCCCCAAAACGTGGTTGTTGTGTACTAAATAAATGGCCAAAATGCATAAAAACGTTTCTGTTTTCAGTTGAAAACTGTCATGTAAACGGCCTCTACAAGGCTGTTGGCAAGCAGACCAGTGGTACTTTAGTATTGTTTATATACTATTATAGCATTTATTAATATATTAATTAGTTTTTATGCTATTGGTTTTTGTATTTCTATTTATTTTTAATTTATTTAATTTCAGTTTTAGTAATTTTAGTACTCCAACAACTTAAATGTAATTTCAGTTAGTTAAGTCTTCTAATATTTTATTCTATTTCAGCTTTATTTCAGTTAACAAAAATTGAATGAACGAATTCCTAAGACACTTCTTTCCGGTCGTCATGAATACTGGGATAAGGATTTTTACCAATTGTTCTTTAGAGATTGCATTGCACACACAAATATCAATTTCCACTTGATAAGATACTTTAGTTTAAGATAACACAAATAAAAATAATAGTCATTACAACATTATCTCTGTAAATCACAATTTTAAAAGTCCCTATTCATTTTGTGAACCCTGTTTTAGTTTGATTTTTAGTGATTGAACACCATGCCAGCTTCCAGTGAACCCCGTGTAAAACAATATAATTGGCATAGTCATCATAATCATAAATTGAAAGAGAAAACAAAAACTCAACGGCAAAAAATAACCTTGATCACACCCTGGTTTCTCATTAAGCCCTCAATAACAACAACAACATAAAAGTCATCCGTTAAAGAAACAACATAGTAATGGCCATTTCAATCTAATGAGGAAAGAAATTTGAACTTGATTGCTTTAATGGAAGAAACACAAAAACAGCCTTCTTGATGACCTAAAATGCCTCAAGCAGTTACAAAGCATGCTGGGAAAAGCCACTATGCTCTCCGGAGCAGAACTAGGAGATGAAAGTAATATTCTGTTCCTGTTTGCTCACCTTCACTGACAGCCAAAACAAGAAAGCGACACACATTAACTGAGATACATTTGCATCGTAATGACGTCTCTTTTTATTTTAATTCGCATCACATTATGTTAAGCAATAAGTAGATCCTCCTCACACACGAGAAGCAAACCTATACTATTTTATATCTCAAAGACAATGACATTACGAGACTGTAAAACAGCACTAAAGAATGCAGGTTTCACAAGTCATGTGTGCATCAAGTGCTTCTGCTGAACAAAAGGTCACTATGTGCAACAGGACAGTGAATATGTGTTTTACAAGAAATCCTCTCAGTATCAAAGGTGAACATTCATGATTGACAAAAAATGCTTCATATATATATATATATATTTTTTTTTTTACACACTCACAAGTCTGGACAGGTGATATGATTAATTGAAATAAATTTATCAATTTATCAATAAATCATAATATCACCTTTCTAAAGAGGTGGACTGCTATCATAAAAACATATTGTCATTGCAATCAAACAGCTCTAAGCTCATATCAATGCATGTGCGATCTTAAGTGATGACTCATTTAGCTGACCTGTCAATCAAGCCTCCTCAGGCCACATTATTGACTTCCTCATGAAGTCCGATGTCTTTCACTTCTGATCTGCTCCTCCCACGAGCTCTGACCACAACCATTCAACTCAACGCCGGTGAACCTGCTACACTGATAATAAAAAAATAGAAAAAACGGGCAGAGCTCAAGAAAAGTTTTTGAAAGAGATAAAAGCACACGTTAATATGTAAGACATGTAACGTTAGACGTTTGGAGAATTATCACCCTTACTAATAGCAATACAATCGGCGTTTAGCGACACCACAGAGATGCGTGTTCGGCTGCATCACAACGGTCAAATGATAAGACAAGGAAGCCCTGCTGTAGATGGTCAAACTTCAGAGCTGCTGATCGGGGATCTGATCAAACACACATATTTACATGTGTACACACACACACACACACACACCCATAGAAGCCTTCTCCATTAAACTGACGTTTGCCGTAAGATTGATATTCGGAGCATGACAGATAGATAGAGAGGCCTGAATTATTATTCCTTTTTATGTCGCTGAGGGAAAGATCCAGAGGAGCGGCTCAGGAGCGTTATGAGCATCGGCTAACAGTCTTGACAGTTCCTCTATATCAGTAAACCACGACCAGCTAACAATAACCTTCCAACAAACATATTAATACAAAACCAGATAGAGGTTACCTTGAGATACGAGTGCGGCGCTTTTCTCTTTCTGTCAAATCCCTGGCTGTCAGACTGAGAGAAAATTCCCCTCCAGCCGCCTCAAGCGTCTCCTGTCGACGGGCTTTGGCCTTCACTTCCGCTTTAAGGGACGAACTTCCGTAATCCACCTTCTTCCGAGGAGGAGGGGCTTGTTTTGATATACGTGATGGTGGCCAATAATATCGCGGTAACATTTCTCACCCACAACCACAAGACTATAATAGATTTTTTATTTATATATATATGTTTATATATTTGCCTCTACCTTTCTCATTTTATTTGTTGAAAGGTTACATTTCAAATTATGCTTTTAATTAAAACCATTTTATAGAGAAATTCATTGTTATAGCTATGTTTTGAGAGCAAGTTTTTTTCTCCATGATGGATTTTCTTTTTTGAGAAATTCAATTCAGAAACTACGCATTTGTTTTTGTTTTGTTTTCTAAACTGAAAATGTGACTTATAGCTAACTTTTTGTGTTAGGCAATGCTATTAAAACTATTAAAATCATTCTTGTTAGTTGAAATAAAACAAATAAAACAAAATATAAATATTAGTCTACACGTAAAGATAAACTTAAAAAACGAAAATGAGAAATGTTGCCCTGGCACCATACTGAAATGAATAAGTTTAAGTTGATGTACTAAAATGATTAAAACCAAAAAAAAAAAAAAAAAACTACTAAGGGCTGAATAGTAAAACATAAACATAATAATAAAAAACTATTAAAAATTACAAAACCACATAACTAAAAATAAAATGAAAACTGAAAATATAAAAATAAAAGCTAAATCTACTAAATTAATACATTTTATAATAGTAATATATAAACAATACGTTAAAAAAAGTCATAACCATCGCATGTAATGTCAGTGTCTTGAAGATTAAGCATGATGTAGACTATTTCATTTGTTGTTTTTAATTTGACCATTTGTCTAAAATTAATTTAATTTCTCTTTTATAATAATAAACTATAAACAAATCTTTAAACACTTGATAACCACAGCCATTTGAGGACCCAGGACTCTGTGGGCATAGATATTTAACAATAACAAGGTAATAAGATGGCTTATCCACGGTGGTTATTAGAAGCACGGCTATCAAATACTTTAGTCTGATCTGCAGACAAGTGCTTAAAAAACGGACCCTTGAGTTGCCAAATCAAAACAAGTCCATGAAAACAAGATGAGCTCTGAATGTGGCTGAAGGTCATGTACTAACCAGTAATCACCGAGCTGAGGCGCTACAGGCCAATTAAACTTTTAATAGACTCGGGTTTTTTCTCTCTTGCTTAAACGCTGGCTGATGGTTTCTATCAGGTAAACTAACGCAATGATCCTCAACCTTTTTTTACTCAGGCCCTCAGTCGTCCAACACAAAGATGTTTTCAGAATTTCTAATATTTCTGCTATAATTATACGACAAATCTGCTTGTTTTCAAACTGTCTATTAGAAACAGTGAGTAATAAGATACGATATTGCATTTAATTAAACACGATTCCTTTGTGGGTTACAGAAATTTCAAGAACGGTTTGTTCTTCAGTTAAAACAATAAATAGAGGGGGAGCGCATCGGGCGTAGCCATCATTTTAGAAGTGAGGGGGGTAGAATGTAATAAAGTGTAGGCTAATAGGCTAACAGTTTTTTTTCTGACCCGTCTAATTGATTATATTTGTCTTATCTCTTGCTTTTAATTGGCTCAAAATAAATCACAAATTCTTGGTTATTGTTCAGCAGTGTATTTGGTCACATACAAATGATTTTAATTGATTAATAATATAAAATATTTTATGCCATCCTGGTTGAGAACCACTGAAGTAAATACTCCTCCCCTAGAATAGTTTCATTACGCACATTTTATATGCTACAAACTCCCGTCATTGTACTTTCCCGATATTCCTTTATTTAGCCTAGTTCTTCTCACTCTCACATAGGCCTACTTGTTTCAAATGGAATCTGATCTATCTATAGTGTGATAGATGCAACAAACATGCTAATTACCGCCCAGCGGTGTACGATCAGCGAGCAGCAAGTTGTGCGTAGGTGGCAGACACAGGCTATGCTGACAATTTCTCAACAACTGCTTCTTTATACCATTAATAATGTGATAATTTTACACATAGCAACTGTACTTTGTACTCATTATCAGAAAAAATATTGAGTTCAATAAATGAATACCTTTTAAAAAAAAATGTTTCACTATATGGCCAAACAAATTACAATAGGCCTATACTTTGTACCTTATCTTTTCATATGCTGGCAAGACCCCATCAGCCAATGTTCCAGCTGCATTTCAGATTTAAACAACAGAAAAAGATGCGCAGTCTACAAATATATAGATATCCTTTATGAAATGTTGACATGAGGCATTCATGGCCTGGGGAGGAGCTGAGAGATAACAGGTTGTTAAGATTTTCCCACAACCAAGCAGCATGTGTGGGTAGCCTCCTGTGGCTAATGATGTGTCTGGAGCCCTGATGTAGACAGAAAGAGCGAGATGGTGGGCGTCTAAAGAAACATCTTTTTGGAGAAGATATGTGCAACATAGCCATCTTAGAATGTGTTTAAACTAGATTTTTCCAATATGTATGTTTACTTAGATGTAAGGTTAGGTTAATGGTTCTGATGTTACATTCACATAAACTGAATAATAAAACAACAGTTACCATGTTGATTTCGGATAGTTTCTATGAAAATGATATGTGACAGTGTAAAGCCTATACATAATTAACTAGGTTAGATTTGGTGAATATTTCAGATGAAAGACCAAGAGGATAAACAGCCACAAAAAACCCTCACCTGTTTTGCTCATATTTACCAAGGTTGCCAGTATTAGTGGAAGGCACTGTATATTTCAACCTATTGAGAATTCTTTTTTTTTTTTATGAGAATCGATCAGCCACAAAGCAGCTTAATTAACTGCCAATACAATCTGTTTTTTGTAGGAGGACAGCCTGGTTTCTCATGTAATGGGCCAATCAAACCTACTCCATTAAATGAGCAATGGTGGCAAACACAGTTATGGTTTATTCTCTGAAGAGGGCATTTTCAACAGACAAATTCATTTTTTACAATCGCAAAGCCTTTAATTTAAGCAGGTGCAACTGAGAGATAAGGAATTGGAAGATTTATTTAACAATATAGGCATGAAACAGGCCCAGAAAAATATATACTGTATATGTATCAATCAATATTTTTTCCCAAAACTTTCTGACGATGAAAAAAGAGGATCAGCAACAAAAATAAATGTATATTGTTCTGCACATGCTTTTATAAACATTCTACGTGTAAGAGACAAACAATTCAAGTAGTTTTTGGTAAATTTATACAACTATAACTATATAAAAGAAGTTGGAAACCAAACAATTCTGTTTACTATTGACTTCTATTGTATGACAACAAAAAAAGACATTTCTCAAATGATCTTCTTTTATGTTCCACAAAAGAAAAAGTCATACAGGTCTGCAACAACATGAGGGTGAGTAAATGATGACAAAATTTTGGGGTGAACTGTCCCTTTAGCAGACTTGAAAATGACTTATTATATCATGCAAATATAGGTATATTTTAAAGGTTTTCAAACTGAAAGAGTTTTAAAGTGAGGCTTTGAAAAAGATTCTGGCTCTTCGTAATCTATGACTCAGTCCTAAGGGACACTGTCTTATGCAAAACCTACTTGGTGAAACTGCCAATGTAAAATCAAGCCATGTAAAATAAACCCAACCAGTGGAAACAGATTTGACCTAAATACAATTAACCATGATTCATACTGACCTTTAAGTAGTACTTTAATCTAAAAAGTGGCAATTTTGAAACAATGGCACAGTTGTGCACATTATCGTGCTTATCTAGCATAACCCACGTACACTGCTCCCACAATGCAATGCATTGCATTTGGCTTAAAATGAGGGCATTATCCATGCAACAGACAAAGAGCATGTTAGACGACTCTTCTTAATATGTCCATCACTCCTCCTCAGTGATGGCTTAATCAATGTGTCGTTCCTCAGCAGGTCCTGGTTTCACCTGTTTCCCTCCAGTGGATGAAACGATGGGCTCAAGTGTGTGAACAGGACTTGATCCCACCAGATCATTCTGTCTCAGGCCTGTAGGGAAATGTAGCAAGCTGGAACTACAAATCCCAGAATGCAAATGTGAACTGACTGCTATGAGAGGCTCTGATGGGCCGGCTGGTGTAACGGATAAATGGATGGGTATGGGTGCCCTGGAGTGCAGGTCAGATGTCATCTGTATGTTTAAAGACGGATGCGACTGACTCTGGATGTTATGGGTGCTCAGAGACGATGTGTTGCCGGGACCCCCACTCCGAACCTGAGGGACCAAACCACTGGACGGAAAGGCTGCCGCCAAGCCTAGGAGTGACCCGCCAGTGCAGGGAACATGGTGTCCTAGATAAGGAGAGTTTGGTGTGGTCTTAGAAGTCTGATACGGGTTTGGCTGACTCTCTACACCCAAGGTAGCAACCCTGTCCTGGTCAGGGCAGCATGGAAAATAGGCTGAGTGAGAGCTGGGGGCTTGATTGAGGAGCTCAATGTCCCCTTCCTGCCCCAGGATGGAGCCTCTTTCCTGGGCATGGCTGACGCTGCAAATGCACGTGTGCCTGGATCCTAAAGAATCTCTCAGAGAGGGATCCGGCTGCAGGCAAGGACCAGCCGGCATGTTAAAGGCCAGCCTAGACGGCCAGTCGGCGGTAGAGGAGGCCACGTTGGTGCAGTTGGGTGATGTATGACAGTTGAAAGAGCTGAAGGGAGTAAAAGAGGAGCTGAAGTGCGGTGGGGTCACGTGTGAATGCAGGAATTGCATCATTTCATGGAGCTCCTTGGTCAGTGAGGACACTTCCTGGTTCAGGTGGTTCATCTGGAACAGATTCAAATATTAATGTCAGAATATTAATGAATAACAAATACTGGTGACAAATGTCATAAATAAGAAAACCTATTTTATTTCTGTTGATTTGCAGTAGGTGTTTTCTGATACCTCTGTATTGAGTTGACGGAGACTCTGTCTGACTTCCTCTGTCTCAAGGAGAAGGTTCGCGCCGACCTGAAACGGATCTAAAAGGGCCAAAACGAGTAAGAAACTGACAGTTTTATGTGTAGAA